CCAACTACGCTCATCCTTATCTTGTCTTTTCGATCTATCTTAGCCAGAGACCATTACCGTTTTGGTCAAAATATCGAACATTTTTGGAGTTCACTACGTTCATCTAATATTACGGCGAGCCTTTTGTTTTAAAGTCACGTACAAAGGTTTTGACCTTTTTACGTGAATTGTTAAAAATTGCAAACATTTTCGGGCTTGGCGAGTTCGCCGTCGTTATCATTCTATCCTTGACCTGGACCATTACAGTTTTATGAAATTTCACAATTCTTTTTTTACGTTACTCATTTTCATAAAAAAAAACAACATTAAATGTGAATTATACGTATAATTAAGATTATTGAATGTCAGGATGTTTCAGATTTTTATGAAATTTTAATTATTTTTGATGAAATTCCTTTACTAGTTTGTTATAATTATTAATACAAAGATCAAATCACTTAGAAAAATTCCTTCGACCCGACTGGATTGGAACCAACGCCTTCTAGCCGACCGTGTCAGACTCTATGCCAACTAAGCCACGTGACGAACAAGCAGACCTTACAAATTTTTCTATGTGTTTGTCGCAGATCTTTGTGTTGGTTTTTAAACGACGTTTTTGCCGTAGCGCCATCTGTGATAAAGTCTTTAATTATATAGAAGGAGGTCGCTTCTAATTTAGAATTTTTATTAGATTTCGAATAATAGCACCTTCGCTGCGAACAGGAAATATTACCTTGAGAATATATTTCTACATTCCGTGGAGAGCTGCTCACGATCAATTATTACATTATATATTTCAGGAACCCTAAGGGTCGTATTCTAGAACTCTACTCAATGCTCAAATTAGGATTTGAGTATGGTTTAACGCACTCGAAATTATACTCAAGTCCCTGCCATTAGGGTCGTATTTCCAGTGCTTGTGTTTCCATTGCAATCCTGACTTGAGCATTGAGTAGAGTTCTAGAATACGGCCCTAAGACACATAACATAATATTCCAGTGAGTGACGAATCTAGCTCGAGACACCGGTACTTAATCCACAATGATTGCTCAAGACATAGTTACTTGTAAGCAGACTTTAATTTGTTTTTGTCATAATATGCTTACATTGTTATTTTAACGACACGCCTACTTACAGTACCTGAGGCAAAAAGCCGAAGTTGCGTGCTGCACTAGAATTGAAACAAACATAGTTCATTCAATAACAAGTTAGGTGGAAACGTAAGTTTTGTTTACATTAACGAGTCTTAAAGGTGCCAACACCTTACCTGTTGTTAACTTTACAATGAAAGGTACTTCACATTATAGGGAAAAATGGAGATTATTCACTTAAAATAGGAAATAAAGAATCATCTTAATAATAGTAACAGAACGAGTCTAGCTCGTATCGTTTAATATTCTTATTAGAAAAGGAAGGGGACCCGATAAAAGGTAATCTTACGCGATGACCTTGTACATCCATAGGCACAAAATATTTAGATGTTCGCTAGAAACCTTTGTGCCTATGCCGAGAGGCGAATGAACTTAGACACGTGTACTCGTGTAGCGATGTTTTCCTTCTATCCCGTTTTGCATAAACTATGCAAGTTATTTGAATAAAAACAAACGTTTGAAGGTCATGTTAACGCCAGTCTAGACCATGGCCATGCGTTACCTATGTGGAAAATGTGTGACAACCACTAATTTTGCACATGATATATACCAATATACTTATTTTATTTTATTTTATTTTATTTTATTTTATTTTATTTTATTTTATTTTATTTTATTTTATTTTATTTTA